TGTTTCTAGTACCTCCCGGATGTGGATTATTTTGTATGTGAGACGTGTTTTGCTTGGGAACCTAGCACTTGTACGTTGATGGGATTTGTGTTCACCTTTTAGATGACGCATGACTGAATTTTGTGCAGCTCCATATTAGGTGGGGGTCATTGTTAAATGTATTTCCTTTGTTGTTGGTCATCTTCTGACTGGTGCCGACGTGGTGGGTGCAGTGGGATACCGCTGGTCAGGAGAGGTTCCGGACCATCACAAGTAGCTACTATCGTGGAGCCCACGGAATCATTGTGAGAAATAATCCGGATACGTTTGTGCACGTGGTTGTCTGTTGCATCTAACACCTCTCTGGATGGGGCTGAGTTTGATTCAATTCTTAGGACTTGACTGATTGAAGTCTGAACGTCCATAAGGATATCTCGCTGCATTTGGTTGAATCCCGCTCTTGAGAGACTCTGCTGAACAGTCTCTTGGCTTGTGGCAACGATTTTGTAGATGGTCATGTCAATGGATGGCTTATATGGAGCAAACGGGACATATCTCGGTCTTACTTGGATTCGGATTCTGACAAAGTCTCGTATTTGTTATTGATTGCAGGTTGTTTATGATGTGACAGACCAAGAGAGCTTCAACAACGTGAAGCAATGGTTGAACGAAATTGATCGATACGCCAGCGAGAACGTAAACAAGCTTCTCGTGGGCAACAAATCAGATCTTGCTTCGAAGAAGGTGGTGGATTATGAAACCGCTAAGGTGTGTGAAGCGAAAACCGAGGCGATGTTTTCCATGCATGGGAAGATAGTGATGTTGTAGGTTGGATTTAGCTGTGTGTTTTCCATCGTTGGTGGTGATTTGTCCTTTAATGGGAGTTACTTGGTTTGATGTCTATTTCGTTGATGGAGGCTCGACACCTCTGTAGTTGTGGAGAGGTAGAGGCTTATCGGTTCGTTATTTTTGGGCAGGCATTTGCCGATGAGATTGGAATTCCTTTCTTAGAAACAAGTAAAAGAATGCTACC